AAACTTTTGAGCAAAAGTTTTGATTTTTGAGCGTGTTTAAAACGGCCCTAATACCGACCACACATCAAAATTTCCGGTTCTAACTCGTAGAAATCATGGTGANCAAACTTTTGGACATTTTTTCGACATCACGCCTGCGTGCAGGCACGAAAGTTTCGACATCTTCCAAACTTTTGAGCAAAAGTTTTGATTTTTGAGCGTGTTTAAAACGGCCCTAATACCGACCACACATCAAAATTTCCGGTTCTAACTCGTAGAAATCATGGTGAAAATCGTTTTCAACCATTTTGCATGCAACCTGGCTGGCCCAGCTTGTAGGAGTAGACTAATATATGGGTGCGGGAGTGTTTATTTTTATTTAACATTCTTCAGGTTTGGGGAGAACATATGGAGCTCGCGGTGGAAAAAATTGTAACAATCGCAGAAGCGAGTTAAAGTACCAGGCACCCGTTTCCACCCCCTCTGGATTCCCCCTCATCAGAATACCATGTCAAACTCGCGGGCTTGCAGGTCAAGGGCGGTCGAGCGATGTGTTCTGACCAGCTGGTTCGTTACAGTATCTCGCGATAAAAATACCTCAGGCAGAAACCGCAGGAGGGGGTCCAGCGCCCCCCTCCTATGTGAACCCAGTCGGGTCGTCTAGCTAGTAGAAGTGGAGGATAGGGGCCAGAGGGGCAGACAACAGAATCCGATGATGGGAGAAAAAAAAAAAGTATGCGGCGGGACCAATGCGGGACTGTGGAAAGCACCCCAGCTGACCCCCCCAAGCGACAAACACAGAGGTCGTGGATCGTGCAACACACAACAAACGCACGACCTTTGCTCCGGTATGGAAGCAGCGCCAACCACTCCATCGACAAGTGCGGTCCTGTTCACGTACGTGCAAGTGTTGATGTTGATGGCATGGGTTGTGACGGTCGCAGGAAAAGAGGTAAGACATGGAGATCGCCGGTACTGCTGTAGTCCATCGAGACTAAAGCAAGTAAGTACAGACCTGTCACCTGTTGGGCAGCTTTGAACTTTGAACTTTGAATTCAATGAATTCATCGCTTGGCTTGGTTCGTCCGCAAAACGCGCCGGTTTCTGGCAATTGATTGTTGCAGTTCGGCATGTATCAATGCCGATGCTCTCTGTGGGTTGTGTGCGTGATATTGGTGACAAGTTCCTAGCACAGATAAGGCGGTCAACACACTGTTTAAACACCAAACTCGACAAACAAAATGCGGCGGAATCGGTGTGTGCAGTGTAGCTTGTGAACACCAGGCGTGTCAAAGTACTGGAGCGTTTTCGGAGCCTTTCATCGTTTGTTTTGCGGGAGAAACCTGACTTGCTTGTGCACTGACCTTCCCGCTGTAAGTAGGCCGACTCGCCAGCTATCAAAAAAATGTTTGTTGGTGCCAAAAACCCTGGTGCAAGCAGTAGTCCTTACAGCCTCCTCGAGAGGACTGCCAAGTTCTCAAGGGGGTGTTTTGAAGCATACATATACTGTGAAGATTGGGGGGAAATATGCTGGATACTGGACTCGACTCTTACTGCTCTGTACCCAAATATCTCGTGGCCTGTTGGTATCTCTCTTCCTCTCCACCAGGCGTACCAGCAGCTACAGCTGCCCAACAACAGGAGTGTGATGTATCGCAAGTTGCATCAACCTTTGCCTAACAGTAGCTCGCGGACGGCAGGCGACATCGCTAACCCGTATACCTCGGTCGCCTTGTTGTGTATGTACCCTCTCCTCCTTATCGCAACGCAAGGCCTACCCGGTCGCCCTCGCCGGGCGCTGCATCCACCACCGCCCGGGCTTCATGGCCAACACCCTTCAGCAACCCCTATCGTCACCGGCGTTTTGGGGTGGCCGGCAGCGGCCACGTCAAGCACCACGCCAGAGCTCCAGTACCCTCGCCCTAGGCTTATCATCTTTCTGCCCACCCGCGCTTGAACCCTCCGCATCAGCTGCTACAACCGCTTGGCGATCATCGACTGGCAGGCTGTACGCAACAGAGTGTCCCAGGTATCGACACGGGCCATTGGTGACATCCGCCGCTGTCCGCTACAGCGGTGGATGCTTTAGCGGCGGCATACGCTGCTTGAGCAGCCGCAGAAGCAGCAGCAGGAGCAGCAACACCAGCGGCGGCGAGGCACAAGAAGAAGCGAGGGAAACTAGCACTGCCGGCGCTACTGTTTCGACCAGAGACAAGGCACGAGCGGAAGGAGAATTTGTCGGCCACGAAGACGATGGAGAAGACCTTGGTACTTCGATAGCCGGCGGTTCGGAGATGGAGCCGTTGGTGGAGCGAGTAGCTTCAGCTCTGGAACAGCGCTGCAGCGTGTGCGGTGGCGATTTAGTGCGTGTGTTTCGTTCCGTGTGTGTGATTGGACGAAACGGCGTGGGGATCCTTGTCATTGCTCGTGTTTCAGTATGGGTTTTTCGGGGACATTCAAGCGTCCATCCTGTGCTGGACAAGTGCCCAGATCGTGAACCAAACCAGCTCCAAGCTCCGGCTTGCTATTTTCAGGTAGCCATCCTCGCTACTTAGCTAGTAGTCCCGCGGTCACACTTTGGACTTAAAAATACGGTGTTCCTGCAAACAAGGCAAGACAAAGGTACGTCATTGCCTGCACCTCCCGCCCCTGCTCCACTTCCTCGACACGCCTCCGGACGACGATTGCCTCAGGTTCTTGTGCTTGTCAGCGGCGGAAGCGACTCCGTTGCTCTCCTCCTCGCCCTCGAACGAGCTGCGAAGACCTTCCAGCCGCCCCTCCGGGTAGAAGCGGCGCATTTCAACCATGGTCTCCGAGGGAAAGACTCAGACGCCGACCAAGACTTGGTGGTGAAAATGGCAGACAGCCTCCGGGTGCCCCTGCACGTTAGGCGCTGGAGAGGTACGAGTACCGTAGGTGGCAGGAGACATCATACCTCCCGGACCGATTTTCACAGCTCGATTACTCCACAACGAAGAGGATATTTTATTCATGAAACAAAACGTTTTTTGAACAGTTCTCGACGAGAGGATTCCAACGCCGCCCTTTCGGCACCGCCGCTCGTTCTGCTGTGGAGTAGTCGACCGTCAAGGGGGTGCGACTTCTTGTATCACCCTGGGTACTGAAGGAGCACATCGTGCATATCCGTCTTCTCTCCCATGTTCTAGACACACGGGCGGATAGTCACAAGGCAAGAGGGCAAGCACGAGTTTCGCGGTGTGGTGGGTTTCTCGAAAGAAATGGGCGGGATGTGACGGGGGGGAAATCTGCCACGGGCCCATCAAACGTCGGGTTGCACCGGGTGGTCGGTGGTGATTCGTGTGGGCGCTATGTGTAGTGTAAGTACTTCGCACGCCGAAAAATGGAGGCGTGCTTGGGTACTGGACCCGCATCTTCGTCCCACCTTGAGTTTTCTGAGGCCGACGGGAACTAAAGTTTCAGAAAGTATTGACTCAAGGTCGCTTGTTCTTTCGCAGATGCCGATGCTTGTTTTTGTTCAACCTGCAGGATCGGAAGAGGGTGGCAAGGTGCTTCCGACTAGAGGTCTCTTGTTGTTCTTTTTCGTACCTATCGTGCTTTTCTTTTCTGCCAAACGCTCTTTTTCGTACGGATCTATATTTTGTGTTGAATCTGCAGGACCGGAAGAGGGGGGCACGGGCGGACCAGGGTCGGGTATGCAGGAGAGGGCGAGGCGATGGAGGCGTGCCGAAGCCAAAGACATCCTCGCCAAGAGCATGGCCGAGGCGGGGGCAGGGCGAGGATGGAGGGGGGTGATCGCGACGGCCCACCACAAGGATGATCAGGCAGAGACGGTCTTGCTCAAGGCCCTCCGGGGGGCGCACATCACCAACATTCAGGTGCGCCGATGCTTCAGAGACGGGCGAGGGGCTGCAATTTCTTGAACGCGCCTGTTCCCCAAACCAGAAAGTTTCAGGATGCGCACAAACATGGGCTCAGTGATTGTTTGGAAATTGAGTGCTCGCTGTTCGACATTCAAACTGTATAATGGTTGAATATGGGGCATTGACCTACGGAGATTGTAGGCGGGAGAACAGGGATATTCTACTTTGATTTTCTCGTAGATTCGATTAGTGAGCTGAAGTGCGTAACACATGGATGTAGCGATGCACTCACTCACGATGTGGTTCTCCTCGGTCTCCGCTACCCTCTAGTACAAGACATTCCTATCTTGGCCCTCACTGGCCGGGATGCCTTCCTACGCACACACACAAGCTTTGGTCTCCACGGTTTGCCTATCACGCTAGCGTTCAACGACTTTGTCGAGGGCGACTGGGTATATAGTCAGCCAGAGGGTGTTCAAACCGATGAGCAGCGGCCCGCGCGGCTGACAACACCCAACAGAGGAAGACGCCACCCATGGTGATGGCCATCGTGCAGTAATGACCCAAGCCCTAAAGCAGCGCCATCATCAGCTGCACCCCACCGCCTGCTGGGCTCGCAGGCCCGTTCAGGCGCGTGATGATGAATTTTTGTTTTGTACTGTTGGAACACACAATGCGGTGATGCGGTACTATCGTGCCGTCAAACTCTATTCAATCGCCGTGCCGTATTGCCGACAACCTCTACCACTACCTCTAATCGCGGCAATACCCTGTGCGTTAGTGCCAGTAGTAACCCAAACCGAGATGATGGGGTACGTGTGTAGCACGATCTACTTACATGCTACACACGTACCCTACCCTTCTCGGATTCTTTGAGGGTTGTCGGCAATACCGCACGGCGTATTGCCGCGAATGAAAAGAGTTTGACGGAACGATGCGCATCATCGCATGGCGTGTTCCAACAGCCCAGTCTAAAAATTGCTCCCAAACCGCTCCGAAAAAACAGGACTAGAAAAATGACCACTTCGTAGGTAAAACGCACCTAGGCATTGGAATCCTACTCTCACGTTTCTGATCAAGCAATATCATGCCAAACATTCGTTCAGTGTCACGATCATTTCCGCTGGATAAACGCGAATATTTTGTTTCGTTTCTTCACTCTAAATTACGTTACAACTATCGTCCGGTTACAGAAACGATTCCTTCTGAAGAGCAACGTCCCCACTTCTTTTGGAAATCCACCCCCCTGCTTTCAGAAAGGGTTGGAGTCAGAACCGTAGACCCAACGAACAGAGCTCATTCCGTCGAACACGCAAGAAAAACAATCCTCGTCGTGCAAATCCCCAAAGCCAACCCCAAAACCAAGCCAAAATCCAGTACCAAAACAGCGTTCGCTAACCCCAAAGCCAAAACCAAACAACATCCAATCCAATACCAAAACAAAATGTTCGGAACCCCTACATTTTGCCGGCACGTCAACGCCCAGCGCTTAACCCATTGCCCATTGGTTCTCTCCCCCGAGGGTATTTCGCACGCCTCCATCGCTGCCGGCTTTCGCCTTTCATCTTCCGGCTGGCAGCAGTTAGGGCTTAGTGATGTTTGCGACCATCTGAAGAGGGAGAAGGAAAATTGTTTCTCCCAGAGTTTTGACTCCGCGTTGGTGCAGGGGACGTAGCGCGTTCGGAGGGGAAGATGGCGGCACGTTTGTTCAGATCAAACAATCACCACTGGGCCTACTATTGAGGGTAAGCCACATAGAATCACACACTTCAAGCATACCCCGTTCTGCACAGTACGGTAGTGCCTGCAGCAAATAAGCAGCAAATGAAATAAAAATTGAAGTATTCGTCCGTTTGCCCGTGGATTTTTTGTATTATTGGGCGGTGCAATATCGCCACTCAATAGTTAGTTGGATTGTCCTCTGTTGCAAAGCATTAAAAACAGCCGTTGCTTTTGTCATGACCAGATTAGTCAATCCTACGTCAATATGACGACTTGGAACAGCAGTCGCACGCCAATAGTATACTCAAGACAAAAAGGAAATGCTCAGAAATCGGCATTTCGTCTGCATTGCGAAGGTAGTATGTGCCACGAGCTAAAGGTACCTATGTAGCATGTTGAGAGACCTAACACGTGTCAGGTATTCGCTGACAAAACAACGACATTAAAAGGTTTGATCAGACTTAACCTGCTACCCAACAGAGCCTAGATGGAGACGTTGATCACGCATTTTGCCGGAGTGAGAAAGTTGGTCTTACATCACGCCTTCCAGGAAGAGCGAGGCACAAAACTTTCGCACTTCTTTGCATCCAATAAATCGCACGAAACTGTTTCTACTACCATGCTGCACACGCACACGCCGCCCTCTCAGTTTTGTTGGGTTACTGGCAACCGTTTAGAAAGAATTTGTCGGCAATACCGCATGGTGTCTTGCAGCGACTAGAGATAGGGGGAGAGTTTGTCGGCGTTACCGCACGGCGTGTTGCCGCGGTTAGAGATAATGTTCGCTATAGACGATGGTCGATAACACACAGCGTGCCACCCATCGCAGGTGCTGGCCCTTGCTTGTAGCTCCGCTTCTTCGCCAGAAAGACCTCCGAAGAGATAAAGTACGTAGGCCGACTTGGCGGGCTTTTCGGGTCGACAAAATGAGTGAAAACTTTGGGGCGAGGACAGCAACAGTGCCTGGAGCAGGTTAAGGTTAACCAGGAGCAACAGGCTTCGACCTTGTGATCGGCCATGTTGTTATGTTTGGCTGCACGCAGCCGGTCGTCGACTTAGATGTGACGTCATCTTTCGTGCGGCGTCAGCCGGTCCACCGCCGTGCTTTTCTGCCCCTCCACCTCAATGGTCTAACGACTACGGCATGCACGACTATGAGTATGAGAACACCCACCTCACACAGTGCGGGTCTCAGGCACTCGGCGTCCGCTACGATTGGCCATCGAACCAACGTACTACAGAAAAATGGCTCTCTCATTGCAGTGACTTTTAACTGATTGTGAGCGTACCCTTGCCTGTCCAAGGGCGGAGGAAGGGCACACCGGTACTGCTGCGTTTAGTGAGCTTTGTTTTGAGTCTCGGGGGCGGAAATACAAGCTTGTTTCGTGAGTTCCTGCGCAAGACAAAATCGTTGTTCGACACGGTACGAAACCGCGGCTTTCGGAGTAGTTCAGCAGAGCAGACGATTCTCCCTCCCTCTGTCTCCTAGAGCTACTCACTGACTATGCGGTGGTCGACAATCTCCGTGGACCGGGATCGTCTCGTCGCCTAGGGCAGATTGTCTCGGGAGGCTGTGCCTATGCCTTTGCGTACAGGCAACATCCGTGACGCGGCGGGTTCTTCCTCTTTCTGTAAGCCTGGGCGTCCACCGAATCCCCCGACCAAATTCTACAGGTGTTCAACATCTAACACATGACTACGATATGTACGACTTACGACTGCGAAGGGCATGGCGTGGCACTCGGATCCTTTCGTGCGGCCGTTGCTGGGGGCCCACAAATCGGAACTCTTGGAGTTTTTGGTCCGGGGGGGGCATGCCTGGAGAGAAGACGGGAGCAACCAGGTGGCTAAGTACGCCAGGAATCGCGTGCGGTGAGAAGGTAGACACCTGTTGATCGACAGCAGGTATACACTGCTGTTGCCTCTATTGTGTACACCTTGTGTGGCTATACTTGCGTCTCTGATGCCGTTCGCTCGTTTTTTCCGTCCATGTTGATGTTGTCGTCGTTGTCATTGAGTAGGTCACGGTTACGTGTTTCTTTGCGTCTTTTGCTCGGCGTTGCTTCGCTTGTCGTGCTGGCTTCGGCCAGCTGTCCTGTTGCAGGACTGACCCCCTTGTCTGCACTCAACCTTTCTCTTTTTGGTGTGGCACCTTTGGCAGCCTCGTTATTGTGTCTGCAGACTTCAATGAGGGCTTCGTGTGTTTGTAGAGAAAAGAACGTTGCACATGTGTCTTTGCCGTCCGCAGCGTGTCATGCACCGCCCTTGTTCTTCGTATTTCGCTCAGCATTTCAACAGTGCGTTGCTCACTCTCCTCTCTGTCGAAATTCCGCTCCCCGCCCCACCCGCTCCGCCAAGCTTTTCTCGCGCTCCGAACTGCACTTCACTTTTTTCCCGTACGTTCCACCCCGTCTGCCCCATCACCGCTTGTGCTTTGCTCACCGCTTTCTACGCTTTTCACACGCCACGGCTTGTCCCTTTTCTTTGGGGGAGAACCGTGTGATATGACGACCCTATGCTCGTACTCCCCCCATCTCTCGCAAAGCCATTTTGCATGCGATCCCACTACAGATAGCGCCCGTAATTGACTGAGAACGTGGCACTTAAGAACTTAATGCTCAACATTATATCGCACATAGGAACGTGAGCACCGTTTATGAGCCCGGTGAAGATTCCCAGCACTAAAACCTATGCAGCGGTCATTTGTGGCCCAAACGAGGAACTACTGTACAGTAAGAACCCTAGCCTCAGTCAACGCTAGAGGTTCTTAAGCGCGGGCGCTATCTGTTCCGTCCTGTTGCAGGCTCCAGTTGATCCCTCTCCTGCGGGAGCTCGCCGGCGGGGCCAAGGCTCTCGACACCCGCGTCGAGGAGCTCTCCCGCCAGAGCCACTTCGCCAGGCAGATGGTAGAGCGTGAGGCGCTGCACTGGGAGAGGGAGCACTTGTCAGGGTGCCGTTTCGACGACGAAGGGGGGGGTTGCAGTGATGAGACTGACCAGGTCGGAGGGTCTGACCAATCAGCAGGTGCCGGGGGAACGGTTGATCGATCCGAAGGGGTCGGGGACGTGGCGCCGTCGGGGATAAGGCGAAAGGAGTTCCCGCTGCAGGCGTTCTTGAGGAAGGGGCCGGGAGGAGAGGGTAGTGAGCAAGGGTGGGCAGGGTCTGACTTGCCGGAGCTGGTCAGAGAGGAGCTGTTGCATCGGTTCATCGTTGGTGAGCTAACGAGTCACGGCAGCACCGCAGTACCACCGAATTTGATCACGCTATGTGCGCCGCGAGGGATCTCAGCTTTGGTAGGAGGTTAGTCAAAGCTCGAATAGGTGTTGATGGCGACGCAAATCCAGGTCAAACGCGGCACGTACGCGGCTGGTTCGCAGTTACCTCGCAATAGCCAGTTACGGCTGGTGTGGTTTTCAAGTTTCGAATGCCCCGGGCTGTGGCCGTGTTGTAGCTCTTCGATGGCCGGAAGTCAAGATGATACCCAGCACGTGAAGCGAAATGTCTGGTTTTGCGTGCCCCCGCGAGCAACCGGTGTCTAGGGTGTGCGACATGGGCCTATCTTTGCCTCCGACGGAAACGTCCAAGTTGTCCCCCACGCGTTTTCCCGCAAGTGTTGGTGGCACCTCTACTGTTTGATCGATCCTAGACACGCACCCGAAAAGCTTTCTTGAGACTATGGGTTGCTTCAGAACGTGACAATGAAGTGCGTCGACCATCTCTTTTCATCCTTTTTGGCGCGTTTTACGTCTACCAAAGGCGGCACTCAAGCCCCCCCCCCC